AACTAAACAAAAGGTCGTGAAGTTTCGGGAACGTTAGTGGTGAGGCAGATCCCAGAGGAGTTACAGGGAGGATCTGGGGTAGATATGATCAAAATACATTTTACTCATGTATCAAAATGTAAAGTTATAAAAATATTATATTTTTAAAAAGGAAGTACAAGAAAGAGCAACGGAAGGATTTTGGACACAAGCTGGCAAACCCTAGCCATCCAATTCTTCATTAAAATAACTTTATCTTTGAGACTCATTTCCCTAAAATCTCTCTACCCAGTACATTGAATTTTCCTGAGTGGCCTTTTCTACTTTATTCTTTGTGTCATAGCCATAGAAAGGACCTCTCCAGGTGATGATACTGAGAGACCACTGAGCCCATTTTGTCCTTTGTGCATTTTTTGTGTTTTGTTCCAATTGGAAGCTGACATGAGAGACCTTTAGCCCAAGTTGAAATAAGCCCCCCCCCCGCCGCTTTTTTATTCTTTGAGGCATTTTTTCCACTGACTCTAATGTGGAATTCAAAATATCCTGAACTTTCTTTGGCATTGGGCAATTTTGCGTTTTTATTAAACGCTGGATACAAGGCACAGTGCTAGGACAAAGGGAAAGGCTGATAACACAAGAATAAACGGGGGTGGGGAGGAAGGCACAGAGGGCGAGGGATTCGGAAGGCCTTACAGATCTGCCAGAGGCTTAAGTATCTAGCACCCTAGCAGTGAGGGTCAGAATGAGCCAGAGGCAGCATCATGCAGAACTCTCTACCCACCAGATTAAAACTATACTTAACGTTTCAGTAATTTACTGAGATCCTACTGTGGCTAAGCTTGCTTTGTTAGCATTATGAATAGCACAGAGAAAGAAGAATTAACATGTTTCTCTCTGTCTGTCTATCTGTCTGTCTGTCTGTCTGTCTGTCTGTCTCTCTCTCCCTCTCCCTCTCTCTCTCACATGAACTACCCATGACTGGAGAATGCAAGCTCCTTGCTACCAAAATCTATTTTTAAATTCCAAGTATTGTAATCCACTTACAAATTCTTTCTCTGTCTCTGTCTCCATCTCTCTCTCTCCCTCCCTCTCTCTCTCTCTGTGTGTCTCTCTCTCACTCACTCTCACACACGTAGTGTATGCATTTGGACTCCTTTATGTGTGTGTGAGAACGTACATATATGCACATGAGTATGTGAAGGCCAAAGGTACAACAGCAGGTGGCCTTCTGTTGCCCTCCATCATTCTTTTCGTGACAGGGTGTTTCCACTAAGCCTAGACATCACCTATTGGCTAGACTGGTTGGTCAGTGAACTCCTGGGGTCTTCCTGCTTTCAGCATACCTCGCTCCACTCCTGATGCTGGGGTTACAGATGCATGGGGCCACACACAGTTCTTTACCTGGATGCTAGCGATACTAATGCAAGACTTCATGCTTATGCGGCAAGCATCGCTCTCACTGAACCATCTCCCTAGCCTCTAGAAAGTCTGTTTATTGAATAGGCATACACAGAAAAGTACATCAATCACAAACTCACAAACGGACATCTAGATGAACTTTTACAAAGTAACATCCTCTGTGACAAGTACAAAAAAAGTCACTATAAGCATATAGTTTCTTTCCTTGGTCCTCCACTTCCCATCTCCTCAAATGTAATAACTACTGTTATGACCTCACGGTGTGAATGTATCCAACTTGTTTTTGAACTCGAAGTAAATGAACCCACATAGACTGCATCCTTGCTGACCTTGCTTTTCATTATATTTGCAGGCTCTTTTCAGGCTGTGGCCTCCAGCAGTTCTTCGTTAATGTCAACTTCTGCAGTTTTAGTTGATCAGCATCCCACAGTTTTATGATGCACTCGCGTTGCTTCCAGTTGGGGTGACTCTGAACAGTGCTGTACTGAACATGCCACACACGCCTTACAATACATATGGACACACTGCTATGCTTTGTATACCCACAACATCCCTGGGTCACTGGCTAATCTTATGTTCTGCGTTAGTGGATATTGTGAAAACATTTTTGCAAGTTTCACCAATTTGCACGAGAATTCCACTTTCTCTACACCCTCCACATAGTGTACATAATGCACCCACTGTGTCCAGGGGGTTGCAAAATAGAGCATGAAATTTCTGGAATTTTCTCGTGTAGCTCAGAAATATGTGGGATAATTTAAGTGTAGAACCATGAAAGAGACCTACATTCTATCCAAACGCGATGGCAAGGAAGAAAGAAAGCACTTCTGCAAAAAGGAGTGATGGCAGAGAAGTTTGGGGAAACAAATATACACAAAGTAATTTTCTTAAAATTCTTTTAATACATTGCCACTCTATGGAGCATGCAGAAGGCCAAAAAACTCAAGACCGGCTTCGGGTTTCAGTTCATTACGTGTGTTTATTAGTTGATTGGTTGGTTGGTTAGCTTTTAGTTCATGTTTTGCATCAGTTCAATGTGTGTGTGTGTGCGTGTGTGTGGGTGTGTGTGGGTGTGTGTGTCTTTGTTTTTAGCTCAGGTTCTGACTACATTCCTGAGGGGAACAGGTAAGTTTGGTAGCCCAGCTGTAGGGGTCCTGACTTGGTGTACCTTACTCATTTTACCCAGTGGCCCTTTTGATAAAATTGTAAGTGTATGTTCAAGCCCCCTGGGCAGGTCACATCACATGATGCAAAGGTTCTCAAAGAACCTTGACTTCTGTTTTGAGAGAAATGTTGTTAGTGTAAGATTTAATCCCCATCTTCACAGCTCTTCCAAATTCTTGCTATCCCCGAACTCACTTCACATGGTAGGTCAGTATGGACTGCTCTTCTATCCTTACCTTCTAGCTGAAAGCACTTGAGCCAGTCTTCTTTCTGCTGAAGTGGAAGCTGCTTAAAACAAGCTACAGTTGTGGGGCTGGAGCAGTTAAACCAGCAAGTCTCAACCTGTGGGTCAAGACCCCTGGGTGGAGGATCGCACAACCCTGTCACACGGGTCACCGGAAAACACAGTTACTTACATTATGATTCATAACAGCAGCAAAATTATAGTTATGAGGTAGCAACAAAAATAATGTTAGGGGGTCACCACAACATGAGGAACTATATTAAAGGGTTGCAGCATTAGGAAGGTTGAAAAACATTGCTTTATGGGTTTTTGACTGTTTCATCATTCTTCTAAAATCCTGATTTTACATATATATATATATATATATATATATATATATATATATGTAAAACTGACTTTAAAGCAAACCCATGAAAGGGGGATTTGGGCATTAATAGGTGGCATTTGAATTCTATTTAGAAAAATAAGTATCTCTTCTGGTTTCTGGTATCTTTGATCTTCAAGCATCAGATCTGCATTGAGTTCTCATGACATACAAAAGGACTGTCCATCTGCTTTTCATTGTTTTTAAGGTTGCATAAGTGTACAAATATGAGATGCTAATATGATTGCTTACACATTTCACATTCTTTCCTCTATTATCTCAGAATGTTTGTGTGCTAGGAAATGCAGAATTGGCTTTTAAATTTTCATCATCATCATTTTGAGAGTCCTGGCTATCCTGCAATGTACTGTATAGACCAGGCTGGCCTCAGATTCACAGAGAACCACTTGCCTCTACCTCCCAAGTGCTGGGATTAAGAGCATGTGCCAGCATACTTGATGGGCTTATGATTTTATGAGTAAATGGAGATAAAAACCTTTCCTCTCTGATTCACAGGTTCACATAGGACATTCTCTCTCCTGTCTATAGTCAATGTATAGTGACAGGCAGAGGGGCAAAGGCAAGAAAATTCAATTTGAAATTAGCAACCATTCATGAGGTTTGCCACTGGTGCACAAAACAGACCATTTTGAGAGTGGGAACTAAACTGTGGCCAGGAACAGAGAGCATCTCCCACTGATCCACAGTATAGAACACAGCCAATGTGGTTGGCTACATCAGTACCCTGACTCACCAACTCAGACATTCATGTTACAACTAACACAAAATGCCAAGATCATGGCTTCATAATTCCTCCATTTTCTAAAAAAAAAATCATTTCGCTGTGTTTAGCTTCAACCTTTTTTTGTAACATGCTAACTGATGTCCAGGGAAAAAATACCACTCTCTAGACATTTTGCACTGTTGACAATGACTCTGTTTCATTTTCTACAGTTTCATTAACTGATCGGTGTGATACATGATAATTCATAGATGGCCCATCTATGTGTAGATGTTTTTATTTTGTTTTTACAGTGTCCTATTCATTGGAATATGGTTCTTTTAGTGAGTCAAGCCTGGATGTAATTTCAACACTTGTCTTGTTTCTGCAGGTATGATGAGTTTTTCATGAATTTGAGGGTCAAGTTGACCAGATCTATCTTATAAATTACTGACTCTATAAACTTGGGGAGTTATTTGTTTAAACTCCACAGATGCACTGTATTATATGTAAAACAGAGAGGGCATTACAAGACCCTATGCCCTGACAAGTATAGGAAAGGCACTGTCAGCACTAGTTAGTAGTTCCTCATCACCACCATCTTTATCTTAAATGAAGAAAGAATACCTACCTGCCTTACCTTGCCCATGGTTATAAAGTCCTTCAACATCACTAAGCATGTAGATTGAAAGCATATCCAAATAATGGAACTTTAGAAAATATAACCACTTTTTAAAACTATCGTAGATTGAGTTACCTTCATCTTTCACTGTTCCAACTCACAGTCTGCAAAGCTGACAGCAACCTCGCTATCAACAGCAACTGGAGATGCAAGCTTGGGATTTGCAGGCAGAAGGATTAGAAGTTCAAGGTCATCCTCAGCTATGTAATGAGTCTGAGGCCAGTCAGGGCCTCATGAACCCTGTCTCAAGAATCAAACAGAATTAAGCAAACAAATAAACCCCAGCAACTGAAGTTTAGTTCAATTTTTGCCTCCAGGTTTAAAGATCTCTTTTGGTAAGTAAGTAAATAAATAAATAAACAATAAATACAGTTGCAGTGCATACTATACAGTAAGATTAAAAAGAAAACAGCACTTGGCCATGCTATGAGTTTAAAATGCCCAATTTTGTTTATTCCTCTGTCGCTTTTACCTATCTGTAACTTTCACACAATCTGAATAAATTTACACTAGCTTTCAGATGTTATTTGAGTCTTTGGTTAAAGTAGTTCATAGTCTTCTAATTTTTTCAGGGGACTATGGTAGGCCACTTTGCAATCAGTCTCTGCCAGGCTTTGACAAAAGGATGTCTGGATGCCAAGGTCCTTTCAAAATCATCCAAATTGATGTCCTTCACATGGTGCTTTTCTGTAGAGAGAAATGTCCTTGTCTCATGGTACTGTCCTCAATTTGTCTGTGTTTGCCACAGCCTACTTCTCGAAATACCATTGCTCTCCAAATTGAGGCTCAGACTAAGGCTTGTTCTTTGTACTCTTTATTCTGAATCCCTTGTGAAAGGCTAATCCCAAAGAGAGTGCAAGAGGTGGTTTCCATAGGAGATGAAGCCTCTGTCATCAACTAAATCCAAGAGAAGAGTGAAGTGATGCCTGGGTTCTTTTCCAAGTTCCAAGTTGCAGCAGGTCCAGGAAGAATTCCCTCCAGAAACCCTCATTCCTTAGCTCTCAGGGTCCAGGGTCAGAACTGCGTCTTTCCCGGCAGGAATGATGCAACTTGCTTCATTCTGTACTCAGTGCAATTCTGGGAAACTTTAGGGCAGACACTGAAGGAGAAAAGAAACATGCAACTGAAAGTTGGGTGTTTTTAACACAATGGGTAGAATCTAGCCACCCACACACTATCCTCTCCCGGAAATGCCATTTCCTCTTCCAGGAAACAAAGGTGTGGAGAATTCTGAGCATCAGCTGTGTGTTCTGAATCAAGGGAGACAATGTTTTACAGAGGAAAAAAAAAAGCTCTGCAGCCTGGGGAAACAGAGTTGATTCTGTGGCATATAGAAGTCAAACAGTCTGCACCTTCCCTCCCCACCTGACATAGACCAAGATGCTTTTGTCTTAAATACACTTTTAAGGCCAAAACATAATCATTCTTTTCCTGAGATATATGAGAGAATATTATTTCAGAAGATCCAGCTTTCAGGGTAATGAACTGTTGTTGATGAACTCTATGGTTATAGGTCATTAGAATATCACAGTCCTTTTCAAACCCTTATGTTCTGCAGAGATGGAAGCCAAATACTAAAATCAGTATTGTAGGGATGGAGGTAGTATTTGGCCATGTTTAGGATGGATGCTAAAGATTGCTCAAGGTTTGAATCCTGATTCTGATCCACTCTAAATTGTGTAATCCTGAGTATACTATATAATATTTCAAAACATCATTATTTTCATGTTACGTAGAAATGACAATGTTGCTGGTGATGCTGATTACTTTATTAGATTATGAATATAAAATGAGCAATGCATCTAAATCTGCCCTCCATGGTACCCACTAGATGTAAATATTTACTATGTTGTCAACATCATAATCCTCTGTCACCTTCAAAAGCAACTAAACTCTGGTGTATAGAACAGGCTGGGCTCAGTGGTAGGGTGTTTGTATGGCATGAGGGAGTCTCTGAGTCTAACCCTCAGCAGTGTAAGTGTTTTAAAATTAGTGACAGGATATAAGAACTTCCCTGAGGCCCTCCATTTATTTAATCTCCTAAAGTGTTCAGTGAAAAGCATAGTCATGGAGAATCAGATATTTTCTGTCTTCTAGGCACTCTGTGTGACCACTCTGCCATTTCCCCCACAACCCAATAGGTTTCCCTTGAAGGCTGGCTGGAGAAAGCAAGCATGTTGCCTTTGAACAAGGGAATCCTCAGCTGTCACAGACACAGACACAGGCAGAAGGGGGGACTATCCTTCCAGCTCTGTGACCTTGTTCAGAGGCCTGACATGTTTTTCTGCCGAATGTAGTGAAGTCGTATGTGCCAGACTCTAATGATGTCCTGAGGAGACATTGTACCTCAGAGCTGACAGTGCAACCTCTGTATTATAAGATCCTGACTTGCAGGCCAGCTTAGTGCTTAGGTATCAACAAATGGCAAAGTGGGTTAATTTTGACCAGATTGTTTTGTGTCCTTTAAAAATGTATGCATATGAGACCTCTTAACACAGGCCTGGGTATTGCCTGATCAAGTCACAAAGCACCTTACAGGTCTCAGTGTTTCGCTTGTAGATTAGAAGTTGAAACCATCAGTATCTTGGGGTCATTTAAAGATGGTGTTCTGTATGTCAGTAGTCAGAATCCTGCTGCCTGGGGAGAAGGGGGGTGGGGGACGACGACGACGACACAACTTGGGACGGGACAGATTTAATTTCTCATACTAACCTGGTCTTCCTCTACTACAGCAATAAGAATGCAATTCTATTGAGTATGGGGAAATCCACCACTCCTTATTATCTTTATGATCATCGTGAATATTAGCAACATGGAGTAAAAACCCCTTTAAAAAACCGGAAACACTGTAGTGACACAAAATTGCTGCTGGAGAGCTGTGAAGTTTACAGCAGTCCAAAACATCAAAATCAGAGATGAGACATAATCACAATCAAGAAGCCTCTATCCCCAGACAAAGTTATGCCTGAACAGGCTCTGTGGATAATTAAAACGCAAACCAAAACAAAAGCAACGCTTGCCAGTCCTTTGTGATGTAAAAGGGATGAAATAAAACACTTCTTTCTACCAATGACCTTAGCCCTTCCCACAGGCGGCCCGTTTACGGTTTTTCAGTGCAGTGAGAAGAGAGTGCTCTCTCGTGCCCCCCCTTCCTGGCACTGGGGCTACTGAGGCTGTAGCTTACGACCTGTTTCGTGCTGCTTGCAGCGTTTTTCCCTGCCCGGGACTGTATCATCCAGGTCTCCCGTAGCCTCCAGGTCCCAGTCGCTGCGGAGCGACAAGTGGCCAGTGAGGCATGAGGATGGAGGGTGGGGACAGGATCAGCAGGAGAAAGGCAGAGAGCGCTCGCAGAACGCAACCAGGCGCGTGTCCCTGAGCCGGCGTGGAGAGCGCCCTCTGGCCGGTGCCGCCCGCCCGGGAGCACCCTGGGGTCGCCAGGCCGGCGCCAACCCCCGCCATCGGAGCAACAGAGGCGCTGTGCTGGGACCACGGCCGTGACTCCAGGTAGGACCCGGGGCCCCATGTCACCACCCAGGAGAAAGCTGGCTGGAGGTGACAAGGGCTGGGACCCGAAAGAGTCACTCGAGTGTCCCTTGAACTGTTCCAGGAAAGGGCAGAGGGCTGTCGGGGTAAAACAGGGGTGAGAACGAAATCGAAAAAAAAACAAACTTTGGGGCTCCCCCATCCTAGTGTTTTTTGGAGTGCTGATAACCTTGACCAGGAGAAGACAGGGGTCAGGGATGGAGGGGCACTTCCTTCTTCTTTCTGCTTTTCCTTAGCGCCTGAGGAAAGGCAGGCAAGGAAAAGCGGAACAGTGGTAACTTTATGTATTCTCTGAAAAAGAAATTACATATTTTTGTAAGAAGAGTATTCTGGAGCTAGCTACCCATCCAAAGAGAACACCTTGCTTTCTGGAAATTTGTTGAAGCGCTAGATTAGTTTTGTTTTTGTTTGTTTCAGGGGCCAGGGGTAGGTTTATGGTGTTCGTTTGTTTTTTAAAAGTTGGGATATTCACTCCTATAACCTTGAAAAAGAGGTTGATTTCCAACCTCCGGGGCCACATGTTAACAAAATATAGTTTGTTACATGTAACCTCTTTATTCCACTGGAGTCTGAAAAGCCAAAATTATCAGAGTATTACGGGTGACTTTAGTGGTTCTCTGTGGGCATAAAGAGAGGCTGAACCTTGGTGAGTCTGGTGTTTCTGTGCAAGGGGAGCGTCACAGGGCTGCCCTGTCCGTTGGACTGTCCTGCAGCTATGTGGGCTGGACGTGGTGCTAATAAAAGATTATTCAGTGGTGGTACAACTGTGCGTGTGTGGAAACCGGAGGGTGGAGAGAACGAGACTGGGCACTCTGACTGGCAGTGGGAAAAATGGATCGTTTGTGCCCAAGCCCCAGTCCTTCAAGCTGCAGGTGCCTTTGCAGAACACAGACCGAGGCGGTGGAATTGTGTGATGGACCTCAGACAAGTTCTGGAGAGTCTGTCTTGGCCTTCTCCGCTTCTACTCCTTTGACCCTTTCATTTAGCAAAGAGAATTTAAAGTCTCAGGACCAGAGAGCATCAAGAAAGAAAGACCTTGGTGGCTCCACACACCTTCCTTTCCTTTCTTTTGTTTCCCTGAGAAGCCATGGCCACCACTGTCTTTCCTCTCCAGGGGTTGTTTGATTGCCAGAGAAGACCTATTCCTACTGCAGTGCCCTCACCCCCCTCCACACCTACCTTGTAAATCACCATCTTCACCCCACACACACACACTTATCTTTGATAATGTGCAAAATGGTAGGCCTACTGCGGATGCTTCCTCTCTTTAAAAAAATGCTGTGTCTTGTGGGAAGAAGGGTGACATTTACTAATTTGGTTGCAAATTACTTTTGAAGTTTATGCACAGCTGTTTAAAATCCCTCAGAGATCAGTGCCATTGTTTGATGCAGGTGTCTACCACAGAAAGATCTCGTTAGGCTGTTTCTTTTGCTGATTGAATGAACGTATATTTGACGATGTAGCCTAGGAAGATCTGAAACCTGCACAGTTCCCTGCAAGTTAAACGATTCAATCTAAATGAAGGGGTTTTGTTTTAGGTTTTATCGCTGTTGTTTTGTCTGTTTGTTTGTTTTTGTTTTTTTGTTGTTGTTGTTGTTTTCTTTTTCCTCTTAGCAATTCTTACTGCCTGTCCCAAGGGTAACCTTTCTAGCATCAGTAGTTTTTAATTCCAAGTCTCATGATTGTCATCTACGATTTAAAAATGCAAACTTCTTGGGAAGATCCCTATTGCTGAATGTTTTCTCTGGTTCACTCACCTATTGCCTTATGCTATGGTGGCTGAGAAAGGCCCTGACTCCTGGGCAAACTCCCAACACCTACTCTTCCACCAGGACTACCTCCTCCAGCAGGGCCTCTCTATACACTACATATGTGACCTCAGAGTGCAGTCTCTATACACTACATATGTGACCTCAGAGTGCAGTCTCTATATACACTGTATATGTAATCACACAGTGCAGTCTCTCTGTACACTATATATGTGATCACACAGTGCAGTCTCTATACACTATATATGTGACCTCACAGTGCAGTCTCTATGCACTATATATGTAATCACACAGTGCAGTCTCTATACACTATATATGTAATCACACAGTGCAGTCTCTATATAATATATATGTAATCACACAGTGCAGTCTCTATATACTATATATGTGACCACACAGTGCAGTCTCTCTATACACTATATATGTAATCACACAGTGCAGTCTCTCTATACACTATATATGTGACCTCACAGTGCAGTCTCTCTACACTATATATGTAATCACACAGTGCAGTCTCTCTGTACCCTGTATATGTAGCCACACAGTGCAGCCTCTGTGCCTGTTGTGTCCTCTCTTCCAAGGCTTCAAGGATGCTGTTCACTAATGCAAACCTAGCTTTTATAGAATCTCAAAGATCTTTCTCGACACTCCTCTGCTTTTCTCATTCACATTAGGCCTTGGATGCTTTCTGAAATGGAGAGCTTTGGCCTTTGCTCATTTCTATAGAGATGTCTCATTCTAGTATGACATAATCCCTTCTCTCATCTGTGGAAAAGACCAGAGTTCTGGATAATGATGTCCCTGGGGTCAGGACCCAGGATTTTCTTTCACGAATATAGGCTTCTGGTCTAAGTCTATCATTTCAGTAAACTCCCTTCTAATGCAGTATTAATTAAGAAGTATTTGCCTTTCTTTGAGGCAGAAATCAGAATTAATTAGAACCCCTATTTTTAATGTGTTTAATGACGTATAGTTTTGATTATATTGTTTGCCTCATGAATGTTGCTCAAGTATTAACCAATTGTGACAGCTAGCTAATAAATCCGTGTTTGACTTCAGGTGATTTCCTTTTTATAGGGCTAAATATTTAAGTTTCAAAAATAATTCCTTCTAAATCAGTTGAAATGTGAGACATTGTTTTGGTTTTGGTTTGAGACAGGGTCTCATGTAGCCCAGGTCAGCTTCAAACTCACTATGCAACAACCTTGAACACTCAATCCTCTTGCCCAAAAGTGCTGGCATTCCAGGTGAACACCACAACTCCTGACCTTAAGTGGTATTTTTATTACACAGTGAAACATGTCTATGACATGGAACATAAGTGAGAAGTGAGCACATACACACACATACACACACCAAATTAAATTTGTAATTAAAAGTAGCATGATCAGTTATAGGATAGCATTAAATTCATCCCGTCTTTCTAATATACTGCTTTGTTAGTTCTTTGAGAATTTCACATTTTTACAATGTATTCTGATCATATTTGCCCCTGCTCCTCCCCAGCCACTCCCAGACTAATCCCCCAGTCCCCTCAACTTCATGTGCTCCTTTTGGTTTTATTTTTGAGATTATAATATAATTAATGTATTTCTCCCTCCATTTCCTTCACCCAAATCTGCTCATATATCTCTCTCCACTCTCCTTCAAATCCATGGTCTCATTTTTCATTAATTGTTATTGCATATATATACGTACACACAGACAGACACACACTTATACATATACCTGTTCAATCTGTCTTTTTAAAAAATAACTTACTAAGGACCACACTTTAAAGAAGACTGGTCCTCATCACATGCCTCCCCCATAATTAACTGCCAATAGCTCCTTAGATAGAGGCAGGGGCTGGTGACTTCTTCCTTGCTGAGTGTCCTACACTGACTTCACCTTGTACAGATCTTGTCATCTGTGAGGTTTTTAAAGTGGCAATTCTGTTATGTTCCAAAGACTACTTTTGTCCTGGTTGTCATATCCTGTGGTTCCTACAGTCTTTCTGCCTCCCTGTCCCGTGATGGCCCCCAAACCTTGTGGGGAGAAGGTGTGATATAGGTATCCCATTTATGACGGAAGTGCACTCTTCCTGACCCCAGTTACTATTTTAAGACTTCAAGCATCTCATTTCTAAGTACCCTTGCACCCAGTCTAGCCTGTTCAAATCTATTCCAGTAATTAATACAGAAGTTGTGGTTTTAAGAGATTTACAGAAACACATGATGTAGAGCCAGAAAAGTGAATTACAAGCTATTTCTTGGCAAAATTAGAGACTTTCATCTTAACATGCCAGACATTTTCACACAGTCAGATTGTGATTACTGTATCATCTCAACATATTCTTGGGGGTGGGGATTGAAAAGCCAAGGTCTCAAAGTTGGAACTATCTCATCTGAGTCCAGAATCATAGATTTCTGCTCTGGAACTATATTGCCATTTAATTAAAGTCCTTGTGTTGGCAGCACATCCTTCTATAGGTTTCTAGAATGTGTTAGCTTTTGAATCATAACCAGAACAAACAAAAGCAACAAAGTTTAGGCTGAGAATGTGGCTCAGTTGCTAACTACATAGCATGCAAGAAGCCCTGGGTCCATCCTAAGCACTGCATAAACCAGCCATGGTACTGCATGTCTATCAATCCCAGCACTCTGGAGGTGGAAGACAGAAGACCACAAATTCAAAGCTGTCCTTGGCTGCATAATGAGTTCAAGGCTATCCTGAGATACAAGACACCTCCTAGCTCAAACAAAACAAAAATAGCAACAAAGGGGCATTATCATTTACATGCTAATTATAAATAATATTATTTAACCTTCATAGAATCCGTTATAAATTAGGTATTCTTATTCTCACTTTTCAGAAGAGGAAACTGAGGCTCAGGAGGGCTGAGTCATGTGCCCAGGGTTCATAATTTGTAAGAGGTAGATTCCAGTTTGGCTGACCACTAAGCCCTGCTATAAACTACATGCCAGGCCACCTACCAATTGGAAAATGCACATAAGGCTGGCCA